CAGTGTACAATGTACTGTAAATAAAGGTTGATTGATTGTGCTTTTAATGTGCACTAAAAGAATGACAAAGTTGGATGGATACAATGTACTGTAAATAAAGGTTGATCGATGGATACAATGTTCTGTAAATAAAGGTTGATTGATAGAGAGTATATAGTGTAAAGAATGGATATTGGCACCCAGCATTCAAAGCAGAATGCAATATCATAGCATAAGTTCATTTAATAAAAGTTTTTTTTTTTTTCACTTTGTATGCTAAGTGCCATCTTTCTGACTCATCACCACAGAACAAAGATTTCAGGCCTTGCAATGCTTTTCTCAGTTAGTTATTTATTGTCTCTACTGTGTCTACTGACTCAAAAGGTGATTAGCTTGGTCAGGTGTGCTGGAACTTGAAATAACTGTGGAATTTTCAAGAGTCCTTGAGAACTGTATTGTGAATAGGCATATGCAAGCCTGTAGATTCAGCCTTCTCCCACACGCTCTCTTTGATTTGTCTCAACGAATATTCATTGAGCTGCTTAATATTAAATAAAACCACAGTATGAGCTTGTATGAATATTCATTTCACCTGAATGAGATTGTTCATAGTGGCTTTGCTCAGAGGCTTTGCTCCAGGCTCTGCCTCCAACTATCACTATAACTATCTCCAACTCTCTCTCTCTCTCTCTCTCCTCTCTCTCTCTATATATATATATATATATATATATATATATTTATAAATGCCACTGTCTGTATGCACATACACTCACACACACTGTCTGTAGTTTGTATTCTGTCTGTAGTTTGAACAGCTTCTTTTGGACAGCTGGACAGCTTTCTTTGTGCACTGCGGTGAAGAATTTCTTCTGTAGTCAAGAGGGAAAATGAATATTTCAGCAGACTAACTGCTGAGTTTTTTTTCTTTCCAATTAATTTAAATGGAGCAATTAAGATTTAAATTTTAATAAGTAGCTGAGGGAGAGAATGAAGAGCGGAGGCCACCACCATGGCTGAGGAGGGCCTTGGGACTAAACACACACACATACACAAACAGGCAGTCAGGCCTGAAAGGTGAAAATGACATGTAGACAAATTCAAAAAAAGATTTGTTAAGAAAGGAAAGGAAAAAAGATAAATGTGATTAGACCGCATTTTGCATTTTATTTTTTTGGAAAAAATATGGCACCATAATAATACATGGGTTAGTAATGTCTGCCCTCTGCTGGTAAACATGGTAAATTGCAACAGCAATGCAGAGAAAAGCGCCCGCTCACACACACACACACACACACACACACACACACACTGGTTTATTTTATAGTATTAGTGAGGACCTCCATTGATTTCTATTGATTTTTGTATTACTGTAGCCAAGTAATAGTACACCTACACCTAAACCTAAACCTAAAACTAACCCTAACCTTAACCTCAGTATCCAAAAAGTATTTTTTGTGCTCTTTGGTGAAAACAACATGCTCAAGTGAGGACCAGCAAAATGTCATGTTGTCCTATCATTATGAGGACATGTAGTCCTCAAAAGGATAGCAAGACAAGCACACACACACACACACACACACACACACACACACACACACACACACACTGTGTCAGTACTGAATGAAATTATCTAGACATGACAAGAATTAAGGTATCTGACAAGGAGTCAAAGACAAGGTTTCATAGGTTTATTAATCGTAACTGAGAAATATATTAGGTTGTGAGGTACTAACCACATTGATATCAATAGCTTATGCTCAAAAAAGAAAGAAAGGAAAAAAAGAAAAGAAAACATAACAAAAACTACAAATAAAAGATAATATCTTATCTGTGAACTGGGAACATGTGAACAGTAAAAATAATTTAAGTTTACACAAGTTATTTCATTTGTATATATATATTAAACATTGATTTAAGCATAACACTAATAAATAGTACAATGAATCATTGTTTATGTGTACTTTAAAGATTTCAAGGTTATAATGTTATAATACATAATCTTCCATACACTTGACATTTTGGTCCAAATAGAGCTGTTGATGTACAGTTAGACAGCTGTGATGTATACATCTGTCAGCTCTTCACTAACATAGCTCTCCTGACCTTCACCTGCTTTCAGTTACCAGCCATCAGTCACTGACAGTCAGCACAAACCAGCAGAGAGAACGGTCCAGAGTTCCTGTAAACTCCTCCAACAAAGCTACACACAGTCTTCACATCAACAACTTAAAATCTCTACCACAGAGAGGTGGTGGAGTCAGAAAGAGATAAAGAGGGAAAGAGAGGTAGGAGGTATTTCAGAGATGGTGCACTGAGGAAGAAAATCAAGTAATAAGTACTATCAGTGTTACCTTTTGACCCCATGACCAAACACATTCACCAGTGAGAGACTGAACAGATTTAGTAAAAAATCACCTTTAAGTGAATTCCAGTACACTGGAAGTCCAAATATTTAGGTTTAAAACACTTTTCTATAACACTAAAGTTTTTAAAACATAAATGCCACATTATTTCCTGTTATTTGATTTAACTCTGATGTATATTTGATGTTCATCAAAAAACTAAAGGAATAGTCCACTGGAAAATCTAATTTACACAAACACTGGTGGAAATCTGTTATGTCTTTTACACAATTGCTCAGTGGTGCAATATTGCAGTACAGTGTAATACTGTACAAAAAAAGAGCATAGGTGCTGTTTAATAGGTGCTCTCTATGGTCAGATACTGGTATAAAGGTCTGTTGTTTTACAGAGCGCTTGGTCTGTGTGTGTGTGTGTGTGTGTGTGTGTGTGTGTGTGTGTCTACTCTGCAAGTCTGTCCCAGCTTATAACAGTCAACATCAGTCTGCCTTTCCTAGCACTGACTCTAAGGTGAATCTAAATCTGAGTGGAAGAGGAGCAGCAAGGCATTATACATATCGTCACTGTCAGGGCAAAACCTTGTATCTCCTTTCATCATGAAATTTACACACAATGTAAAGGGTAAAAGTTTCATTTCACATTTTCAAATTGTGTCAAAAACTAAAAAAATGACAAAAATGGAGATACAAAGTTTTGTTCTGACAGCAACAATATACACCGATCAGGCATAACATTATGACCACCTCCTTGTTTCTACGCTCATTGTCCAGGGGGTCCTGACCACTGAAGAACAGGGTAAAAGGGGGCTAATAAGGTATGCAGAGAAACAGATGGACTACAGTCTGTAATTGTAGAACTACAAAGTGCACCTATATAGTAAGTGGAGCTGATAAAATGGACAATGAGCATAGAAACAAGGAGGTGGTCATAATGTTATGCCTGATCGGTGTATGTATATATACTACCCCATTTCCCAAAAAATGGAAACTTTTTTTCCAAAGAAGTTGTGACGCTGTGCAAAATATAAATGAAAACAAAATGCAATAATGTGCAGATCATTTAAACCCTATATTTAATTGAAAATAGTACGAAGACAACATATCAAATGTTGAAACTGAGAAATTTGATTGTGTTTTGAAAAATATATGCCCATTTTGAATTTGATGCCAACATCACATTCCAAAAAAGTTGGGACGGGGGCAACAAAAGACTGGTAAAGTTGTGTAATGCTAAAAAAACACATGGTGGTTGATTGGCAACAGGTCAGTAACATGACCTGTGTATAAAAAGAGCATCCCAGAAAGCCTGAGTCTTTCAGAAGTTAAGATGGGTAGGGGTTCACCACTCTGTGAAAGACAGATCAAACAGTGCAACAATTCAAGAATAAAGTTTCTCAACATAAAATAGCAAAGAACTTTTGCTTTTAATCATCTACAGTACATCATATCATTAAAAGATTCTGAGAATCTAGAGAAATCTCTGTATGCAAGGGACAAGGCCAAAAAAACAGGATTTGCTGGCCTTGATCTTCAGGCCCTAAGGTGGCACTACATAAAAACAGACATGGTTCTGTAATGGAAATCACTGCATGGGCTCAGAAAGACTTCTGAAAAACACTGTCTGTAAACACAGTTTGTCGCTGCATCCACAAATGGAAAGAAGAAATCTGCCACCTTCTCTGGGCTCGAGCTCATTTAAAATGGACTGAGGTGAAGTGGGCCACCAAATCAACATTTGATATTCTTTTTGGAAATTATGGACACTGTGCTATAGACCACTCAGCTTGTTATCGGCGCACTGTTTAAAAGCCAGTATTCATGATGGTATAGGGGTGCATTAGTGCACATGGCATGGGTGACGTGCACATCCGTGAAGGCACCATTAGTGCTGAACGATATATACATATTTAGGCAACATATGCTGCCATCCAGACGATGTCTTTTTCAGGGAAGGCCTTGATTATTTAGGCAAGACAATGTCAAACCACATTCTGCATATATTACAACAGCAGTGCTCCGTATCAAAAGAGTCTGGGTGCTAAACTGGCCTGCCTGCTGTTGAGCTGAAATCTTGTATCAAACAAGAATGGGAAAACATATCACTTTCAAAACTACAGCAGTGTCTCCTCAGTTCCCAAACGCTTACAGAGTGTTGCTAAAAGAAGAGGTGATGAAACACAGCAGTAAATATGCCCCCGTCCCAACTTTTTTGGAACGTGTTGTTTGCATGAAATTTAAAATGGGCATATATTTTTCTAAAAACATTTGATTTGTTGTCTTTGTAGTATTTTCCTTTAAAAATATGGTTTACATGATTGCATTTTATTTTTATTTACATTCTGCACAGCATCCCAACCTCTTTGGAAATGGGGCTGTACAACCTTTACCAGCAAATCCTATACATCTGCAAACAGAAAACAGTGAAATTTGTTGGTGGTTGTGTATGTCTGTTGTGATGTCATTTGAGAAGTTCTGTTTAGCTGTAGGTAAAGACAATCAAATTAACCTTTAGAAGTCGTGATTATTGCCAGCGACAAAGCATGTTGTAATATATTACTCACTACTGAAAACAAGTGAAACATTCTGTGAAGTTCAGTGTGAGTTCAGACCTTCGACACCATATTTGTGTTCATAAGCAGAATAGGAAATTATGATATTTAGATGAAAAGTTGTTATTGTTGGAAAGAAAATACACCTTTATGTTTCTGCCTTATTTGTCAGTTCTTGACGTTAAAACAGAACAACACGTCAATATGTAGTTAAATATGTAGTTAGTTAATTTTCTTTGAATAATCTAGCAAAACAATAGTAATAACTCTCAACTTCTAAAGGTTAAAGCATCGTCCCAGTCTGCAACCTACAACCTTCTAGATTTGTCTGAATGTAAAGTCAGTCTATGTCCTAGACAGCTGATACCGAAATCACTCACGAGTTCTTAAACACCCACAAACACACAAACTACACCTCTAGATCAGGTCAGTCTCTTTAAGCTGGGCTCTGGAGTAGTGTCCAGATCTTTGTTCTTCCTCCTCAGTGCTCCTCACTAGTCATACAGAGGACAGCACCTCACCAGCCGCCTCCCTCTCCTTCCTCTCCGCCCGCTCCACGTCCAGCACAGTAAAGGCCGGCTGCTTGACCACCAGCTGAGCTTGCTCACTAGGGAAAGCGGCCGGCTCCATGCCTTCGTACTGGCCTCGGGGGAAGGAGCTTTTGGATAGAACGCTGGTGTAGCGTCTCTTCAGGTCAAGGTCAGGACAGAACAGGTACTCATACAGAGCTGCAGCTATAACAGCGCCTATTAGAGGACCCAACCAGTACACCTGAGAGAGAGCGAGAAGAGAGAGAGAGAGAGAGAGAGAGCGAGAGAGATAGAGAGATAGAGAGAGACTCTTTTATTGAGAGTTTGAGTTTCGAGTGGTAAGTGGTGCTCTGTTATTACTCTGAAAAGGTCATTTGTGTCCACAAAGTGATCCTGACAAACAGGAAAACTTTTGCAGTAAAATTTGTCCCACACCCACCTTCGCACACACACACGTTTGTCTTGCTATACATATGAGGATGTCCGTAGGTTTCTATTGATTTTTGTGTTACCGTAGCTAAATAATACTACACCTAAACCTAACTCTAACCTTAACCCTCAGTATCCAAATGGCAATTTTTCTGCTCTTTTAGTTTTCAAATAAAAAAAGTAATTGTGGTGAAAACAACACATGCTCAAATGAGGACCAGCAAAATGTCCTCACTTGAGCAAAAATTTAATATCATAGCGAGGACATGTCCTCACAAGTGTAACAATACAAGAACACACACACATTCTGTCATGAAAGGTCACAAACAGGTTGCGGCCATACTAGCATTATGTCCTACATCCTACAGCAACATGTGTGTAGACAGTCATGTGAGGAACATCCCATGCAAAGTTTCGACTTTTTCAACATAATTGGAGATACAGATATCAATTCTTCATTTAAACAGTGTTGATAGATAAATGTGATATAATTTAACAAGTGATGTAAACGTTTTTATCAACCTTTATTTAATTAAACAGCTATTAAGATTTCTTATGTGGAAAAAGTAAGTACACCCCTGTATAAATCACTACTTCAAACATGTCAATTTGAAATCAGGGGCACCCTTAGAGAATATCTTGGAGGAATTTGTCTCAGTTGTAGATGTCTATGCGTCTGAGAAGGGGTTTAAGAAGATATCCAAAATATTGGACTACACTTTCCAAAAGATCATCTACAAGTATAGGTTTACATGGCTGTACATGCATAAAACTCCTCAAACATTGCACAGTTGAAAGATTTTTGAGGAATGTGCAAAATTTTCTCCCTGTAGATGTCATAAACTGGTAGACAGTTATAGGAAAAGCCTACATAAAATGCCCAAAGGGAGCAGTACTAGTTACTAAAGCCAGGGGTGTAATTACTTTTTCAACAGACTAAAATGGCATCTTAGTATTTTATTTTAAAACAAATGATGACAAAGTCAAATTTCCATTGTTTTTGTTTCTTTTACATAACATTTATCTATACATACTGTTTAACTCAAGATCAAATACTGGTATGTAAAAAGAAGAAATGAAAGAAGAAAAATGAAACATTTCATGGAGTATACTTACTTCTTCACATGACTGTATATCACTCACTATGAGATATTCTGAACAAGTGCACTCATAAGGGATCCAACATAGGAAAAGGAATATTCTGTGATTTTTAGCAACGGAACTAGGTGAGTAAGCAGTATTAGTTGCCAGCAGTCAGATACCAGGTTTAAGTAAGTTAGAGCAGAGAAATCACAAAACTCTGCAGGACTCTACAGGAGCAGAACTGATGACCCCTGCTCTAGAACATTTATAAAGCATGAATCTGTTTGGGGAAGTGAGTCATCAAGTCTTTAGTATTACTGATCCTCAGCACCAAAAGGGTGGTCATGAAAGGCTACTGCTGCTGTAGACATCCTTACATAATAGTGGAATAAGGTCAAGTGGTTATTCTTTAAACACTCAAGGCCTCAGTTCCACTGCCACTGTAATCATACATAAAAACATCCAAGCACAAACAGCTATGAACTCAAAATTTGTGCTCAAAGTTTGCACATATGTTTAACTCAAGTCTTTCTATTTTATTACTCCCTGGTGTTGTGAATGACCTCATGCTGACAGGAATAGGAAATGCAAATATTTGACAGACCCAGTGGTTTTCCCAGTGTCCCATGATGACCGCAGGCCCAAATGAGCGAGCAGGATTCATGCTGGCTCCAGTATATGGGATCTGTTAGAAGACACACATAACAGAAGTTAAATGTTTGAATTTTTGATTTATGTAGAGCTTTTCTCAAACACATGGACAAGCATGCATAAGCAAAATGGTATGGCAAGAGAAGAGAAGAGAAGAGTCTTTTGTGAAGTCTCTAATGCTGTCTAAACAGCACGAAGGGCAAAATGAGGACACTTTACTTCCTTAGCAACAGGAGAGCAGCTCCAAAAACACCCTGTAGACGGCGGGGGCTGTTGGCATAAACCTGACATCATCACTTGGCACCATAGCTAGGTCGCCCTTCTCCGAGACCTGAATATCACACCTGCTGAGGCTCATTCCCCTGTGTCTGGAAGGTCTTAATGTAATTGGATGAAGTGATATGGCAGCTAATCCACCTGACATGCTTTAATCAAACCATTTGTTCACACAAAAGTTTTACATAACAAATCTTTCTAAAGTGATTAGACTCAGGAAACCAGCCATGTTCTGCAGTGTTGGCTACGTCTGGAGTTGCTGGGACTGTAATTCATTAGATTATTAATTGTAATTCTCTCTGTGTTTGCTGATCCTGTTAGCTGAGGTAGAAACTAAATGGGAAAGTGACTCACTGCGAATAGGTGACCGATGCACACAGACAAGCCGATAGCCAGCGCTGCTGAACCCTTCAGGTCACTGCGCTTAGGGTCACAGGTGGCAAAGACAGTGAAGACCAGCTCAAAGGTAATAAGGAGTTCAATCACCAGGGCATGGCCAGTGGAGATACCAGCATTCACCTGCAGGGGGCAGTAGAGAGATTGGAAAGGAAGAAGGAACTGAGAGTTATACTGCAATGAGAAAACATTAAATAGTTTAGAAAATGTTAAGTGCTTGTCTTTTCTGGCTTAACAAAGACATTGCCTGCAAAGCAGGTATGACTGTTCATAGTAGCAGGCTGTCCAAAACCTACACAGCCAACTGGTCGTGCTTTTCTTAGCTTACATTCACATCAAAAGGACAAACTTTTAATTTTTTGGCCTAGTTGTGACAGAGATCTGATTTTTTCAGTGCAGTGTGAACACAAAAATCTGATTTTTTTTCATTCAGATTTGACCTACTTTGGCTATGCTCACATTATAAACCTCATTGCTCAATTCAGATTTTTTGCTCAGATCTGATCTTTCTAATTTGATGGTTCACATTAGTGTAGGCATGTCACTCAAATCTGTCATGAATGTGAATGAACCTGTGTCCTGAAAGGACCTGCATGTGCACATCCTAATCCCAAACATCACATAAATGAACCACATGCATCATAAACAACAAAGAAACTAACCAGCAGAACAAGCCTTTTTTGCAAATACAATAACAACAGCTCTCAGTTCATAATTAGAGCAAGATGAAGGCGACCACATGTGAAAGTGGCTCATGTCTCTTTTGAAAACATCAGATTTGTGTGTCCATGCAGCTCTAAAAACATCAGATCTGTGTGATCTCAAATTGAATTTGTGCCACTTCAGCATGGTGATGCGAACGCAGCCTTTCATATGTGGACCTACAATCATGTACATACTTATAAATGACCTCACAACCATAATTGGAATGGTTGGATCAAAAGTCATGCTTTTTTCATTATATGTCCAAATGTTTCCTACATTTCTTCTGAAATCAAGGGTATTAATAGGGAGTTTGTCCTTCTTTGCTGTAGTAACAGCCTTTTCTGAGAAGGCTTTACACTAGATGTTGGAACATTGTTGTGAGGATTTGATTGCAATCAGGCAGAGGAGCATAAGAGAGGTCAAGAACTGATGTTGGATGATTAGTTCTGGATCACAAACACCACTCCAACTCATTCCAAAGGTATTGGATGGTGCTCCATCACTTCAGAGAATGCAGTTCCACTGTTTCACAGCCCAGTTCTGATGGGCTTTATACCCGTCTAGCTAAAGCTTGGCTATGGGCATTGTGACTTTAGACCAGGGATGGGGAACTGAGGCCAAGAGTCCAACACATTTTGGTGATTATTCTGCTCTAGCACACCAACCAAAACTGGTGAGTTGAAATAGGAGGGTTTGTGCAGGAGAATTACCAAGCTGTGTAAGAAAACCAGCCTTTGAGGACCAGAGTTCCTCACCCCTGTCTTAGCTCACAGCATCACATTCTATTGGCAATGCTTTTCTATGGAGATTATACAAGCTGTATGTGGGCAGTTGAATGTCTGCGAAAGCAATGGGTGCACCTTAAAGTAAGAGTGGGCAATATGACAATAAATTGTCACAATGTCATGCTTTTCTGAGCACATGGATGTCTCCTGTACTTAAAGAACACTGATTACACTCTTAAAAAAAAGGTTCTTTAAATGTTCTTTAGTAAAAACAGTGATTTTATATAGAACCATGAAAATTCAAAGAACCATACTTAATCCCTTAAATGGCCAGGGCCCATCAGCAGGCCTCACCTCTATAACCCTCACCTCTATAACCCAAGAACAGCTCGAACAGTTTGCATAGAAGTCCCTGGAGTTACTAAATAATAAGCCCATAATAAGACAGGGATGTTAAGGGGTTAAAGGGTTCTTTGTGTGGTGAAATGGTTGTTCACATTGATGGAGAAGGTGTTGTATACGATTCTATACAGAAGCTTTTTCAGAAATGTACATAGCACAAAAAGGTTTCCTCTATTGTTAAAATGTCAAGCTTGTAACAACAGAAGAACCATTTTCGGTGTATATATGTATAGAAACCTTTTAAAATGCTTTTTTTTATAGAACCATATACAACACATACTCTATCAATCTAAATAACCATTTCATCTTGCAAAGAACCCTTTAAGCATGAAAATGGTCTATGAATGTAATGGTTGTACATAGAACCATTATCTTTACTAAAGAACTTTTAAAGAACCATCTTTATCATCTAGTGTCAGAAGTGTATCAGCAGTGGCAGTGAGGCATCTGTAAAACCTAATTATACTGAGTTGTGTCCAGCACATTTGCTTTTGTGTTGATGTTCATGATGCATGTAGGTCATACACATGGTGTAATTGATTTAAAAATCAATTGCGCGTTGTTCACCCAAATAACAAAAATGGCTCGTTTACTAACACAGATGTGAAGGTTGAAGGCAGAAAGACTGGATATGAGCAAAAAATCAGAACTTAGCGATAAGGCCTATGATGTGAACGCAGCCTTAGGTACCATATTGCTATCCAACTGACCGAGGTGACCCCCAGACTCCCTCTCACAGCAGGTGGGGTCACACCGTACAAGATAGCAGCCCCTGCCACTGCCCCCAGGCACTGCGCCCCCAGGTAGAACACGCCCTTCGCCAGGCTCAGCTTTCGCGTGGCCACCATCGCCACGGTGACGGCCGGGTTGATGTGGGCGCCACTGATGTGGCCGAAGCACTGGACCAGCGTGGCTATGGACAAGCCAAAGCAGAGAGAGATGAGGACGAGGTCGGGGGGAGGGGGGCTTTCCTGCGCAGTCGACCAGTTGATGGTGGAGCCCAGGCCGAGCAGCACGAAGATCAGCATGGCCAGGAACTCTCCGCAAACCGCTCGCCAGAAATCCTGCGTCCACACACCCTTAAAGGCAGCCATGGCACACTCACAATGGCAGGAGCATGAAGGAGGACACCTCCTGAGAGAAAGGGGAGGGGCAGAAAGAGATTGTCCTAACAAAATTAACTGTTCATAACACATTTAAGCAAAATCACAAAGATTCATTTTTAAAACTATATATTTTAAAGTTTTATAAAGGACATTTATAATGGAACCAAATGTGTTTCTGTGGCTGAGAACTTCAAAGTAACGTTTTTAATCCTTTGTTACACTATGAGACTATGAGAATTTGCATCTATGGTTTACAAGCAAACCAATTAGAGCTTCAAAATATGTTGCTTCAAGTTTTTTGATAATTGGTTCTTGCATAAGGTTCTGTATTTGGAAGAATCATAACCCTCCTTCAGCTTTATAACAACGTTGGTCAGAAATCAGCATTTTTAAGAGGCTAAACAAATGACCAACATCCATCTCCTCACTGAAGAGAGCGCTCATACGTGCGCATGCGCGCTGCCAGAAAAATTGCACTAAGGTCGTAAACAAACTACTGTAAACTGATAAAGCATTGAGAAAAATAGATTATTACTGTAAATACTCTAACAACTCACTGCGTTTCCATCATCGCATTCACGAATCCTATTTAATCATTTCACGCTGGTAAACATTTCCATTGGATGGCTTAGACATAAAATATGCTGTTACTGTGCGGACTAAACGTGGCTGTTTATGAAGGATAATATTTTAGAGGCGGCTACATCGTCTACATTGACGTGTTTTGAAGGGAAATAGCACTACGTTTTCTGAGCAATCATAAATAACAGGTGCAGCCAACATCTGATAACCACGCAGACACTGTGAACTATAATAATGCAGATCACTATAATAATGCAGATCACTATAATAATGCCGATCACTATAATAATGCAGATCACTCTAATAATACAAATCATTATAATAAAAGAGATAACTATAATAATACAGATCACTATAGTAATGCCGATGTTGTTTTGTTCAGAAAGTCGACACGTGTAAACTTACCGAAGACAACCACAACATTTATTTCGGCCAGAAAACTCTTCTCTCATCACTTTGTGAGCATCATCTCACTAACAACATGTGAAAGTAAAACTTGTTGACTCCAATCAGAGAGCAGAAGTTTGGGATTCAGTGGCTCCTGCAGCGATGCGCTCAGTCGCGAGGGAAGTTTGGCAGCAGCTCTCGAGCCTCTGGAGCCTTCCAGCAGCGTTATTTTTTTCTACCCGTTTTCTGACAAGCACGCCCGCCTATTGACGACTGCTTTTGTGGGCGTGTGTATGTGAACAAACTTCTAGATCAAGGGGTCGTGGTACTACCAGCCAATCCCAGTACAGGAGGCGGGACGTGCCGGAATACGGGTGGGAAAACAGCATTAACGCCCCCCGTGGCCCCTCAAAGTAGACTAAAGAATAATGCCGCGTTTAAATGTCCCTGAAAAGCATCTTAACTTCCTAATTCTGTAAGCAACTTATTTATTTCTTATTTGTAGGCACGCGAATGTGCATGCACACCTGCTCCTTACCCCGGGCGGATTTAGTGATTCTGGGGCTCTAGGCCTACACTGCAACAAATAGACACTTTAATTTTATTAAGTGAAATTATCTCACCATCTTAGCAGGGAATTTTGCTTGTTTTAAGAAATATGGGTAACACTTTATTCTAGGGTGCTGTCCATAAGGCTACATTAAACCTACATAAGCTTGTCATATCAACTGATACAACCTTACATAAATGTTTATATATACTTATTCCAATAGACGTCATTTGTTATAAAGGTTACATTTGCCAGTTTTGATCAAAGTTAGCCAAAGTAGCCTTTAAGACAGATGACACCTATTGGAATAGGCATTTATAAAAATTTACGTAGGTTATGTCAGTTGTCATGACAAGGATATGTAGGTGTCATGTAGCCTTATAAACAGCACCCTACAGTAAAGTGTTACTGAAATATGGTTGAAAAGCTGCCAATAGTGAGATAATTTGGTACAGAGTATATATATATATTTTTTTTTTTCTATTATTTTCCAGGAGGTAATAAGTTGTAGCCACCTGGCTCTGGCTTCAAAGCACTCTGGAGGCGTGGCTATGCAGATGGTCACGCACATAGGCTCATAGTATGTGCGCGCCCTCCACAAAGGGACTTGTTGTTGTTGTTAATGTTGCTGTTTGTTAGTTAAAGTTACATGTATGTGTTGTTTGTGTTATTGTGCAAGGATGCTGGAAGTGGGTGTGCTGATTTCAGACTCACGTGTGCTTGTTTTACAGAAGTGTTAGTAGTTTTTTGTTTTTATTTATATATAATCAAATTCTACAGTAGCCGGGCGCTGTTTAAGTTAACGTTGTGTTTTCATTACAGCTAAATCACTTCCCTCCACAACTCCACAAGGAGTGCATCACTAAAACACACACAGGTTATGGTGCAAAGAGAGAAAGTGTGTGTTTGAGGCCAGTTCTAAACCCCAATACAGCCTAATACTGTTTTTAAACTTGTAAAAAATCATCTAATGTGATTATAACATTTTATTAGGTGTTTCATCTCCCGCTCATTGTGTGTTTTCATCACAAGACTGTGGCCGTGTCACGGTTGGTTACCGCATTCACATATCAGTAATCTAATAGGTTACCACTTAATTCATTAGCATAAAGTTTGTCCAGAGTGAGAGATCAGAGTGAAGATATGCATCGGTGCTCTGATGTGTCAGTTATATGTGTATATTGTTGTCTCTTGCCTCATTAGAATGCAGTATGACACACTGTGTTCGATGTAAATTATCAACAACAAAAAAAATGGAAAAAGGCAAATAATCTAGCATGATGTCATTGTTCACATAACATATATGCTGCTTAAAATTGCAGCACTCCCAACTTAAAACGCCTTTCCTGTGTCTCTGTTATTGTGTGTCTAAGAGTGGGCTAATGTGTGGGTTTTGTGTGTGAAGGTTTGGTCATTGTCAGGTTGAAGCTGGTGGCTATTGGTGACCTCCCCCTGCATTTTCAGTGCTCTGTATGTGCACTTTATGCTGTTGTGTTAAGTAAAAGAGCACTTACTTGTAGCACAATATTGTTGAACCAGTGGCGTAACCAACAAGCTGACTGGCACTTTTTATTGAAGGGTGGGACTTTCTGTAAACAGACCCCATGTTGAGCATTAAGAGCTTTCCTGTTTATATTTTAACCAGTGACAGGTCTCCTCATTTATAACATTTCTGGTAAAAGTACTTACCTTGTGTACTCAAGTATCCAAGGTAAAGTTATTCTAGCCATTGTAGAATAAGAATAGTATTATTTTCATAAACAATTTATTAAGGCATGTTTGGCTCCACACATGATAAGGTGTTTGCAAAAAGGCAAACTACCCCGAAGACCAATATATTAATGGTTGTATTAGATATTCTTTAATTTGTCATTAGGCCTATTGTAGCCTACATACATATAAAATGTACCCTCAAAAAGCCTCTGCTTACATCAATTATTCCCACATTCTTGCTTGTTTGTAAGGATCTGCAAAGAGATCAGGTAATTGGATCTACCAGTCATCCTCATAGCTAAGCAATGGTAGTTCACAAGCAGGAATTCTGACTATAGAATGTATATTTATCTAATATATTGTTGACAGAGAAACATTAGTATAGCCTACTATCAAATGTCATTAATACAAACTAATAAACTTTTAAGCGACATTAAAGCTTTTATCACACGTTTGGCCTTTACTTGTCATTATCCCAGTTAAGTCTATTAAAACCTCTTTCTAACTAATTTTATTCTGAATATACTTAGTAATAACTTGGTCATTAATATAAATATTATAAACATTAGGGTTTCTGATCCACATAAAACATTCAGCCAGATCATCATCCAGCAGCAGACAATGAAACATCTCACAGTATGTCTTAACCTGATATTCAGTTTCAGCTCACCTCAGTCAATACAGCTCCCTGCACCACACATCTTTCATTCAGCAACAGGCGGCAGCAGGTTTTATTCTATGTCTGTTCTTCTTCCACAGTCAGCATACTGCATCACTGGAACCACGATGGAGCAGGAGCAAGAGGAAACTCCAGGATGATACAGCAAACAGTGAGTTCCTTCAAATCTCTCAGGAATTAGGACGTTGATATATCAGCTGACCTACAAAACTTCATAAAACCTAAGAACATTTTCATTACAGATCATCACACAGTGACACACAAGAGATGTAAATGCCATGACAGACAACATTACTGAAATATATATAGAGAGACTGCTGTCTGGCTAATATTGGCACTGGGTTGAAGTTCAAGGCTATGCATTTTTGTCATAGCTGACATTTAAAAACCTGGATTGTGTGCATTGTATTTGTTTGATGTTCACTGTTACTCATCATGGTATAATTGTATATCATGAATTATATTATTTCATAATTTTTGATTTCTTATTTGAGCCATTATGTTTCAGTCAGTATATGTTAATGCCCACAGATAGGCAGTGCATAAGTTACTCCTCTGGCCCCTTACCTCTTACTCTATTTTGGTCTGAGTAAAATACCAAAATACTCTACACCTTTTCTTTAGAAAACAGGGCTTCTGTTGGGCAGACATTGACATAAAGTAACCAATACTAATCTCAATACTAATCTCAGCTGATCAGCAGTCTGTGTATGAGTGTATGTCTCGAATACAGCATTCTTTCCATGCTTAAAATCAATGTGAAGAGAAAATCATAAGGCATTCTCCTTCTGTATGCCTTATTCCATATTTCTGAGCTAGCTGAGCATTTTGATTGATGATAGGTGTGGGTGGTGGGAGGGGGAGGTGCAAAATGGTATTATTGTTTAAAATTATTTTTCCTCACCCACCGCTGTATATGATCTCATAATCAAAAATCAGACAATGTTTTAGAGGTGAGCAAAAGTCATTACATTCTGGCTAAAGATTGCGAAGAAGCACAATTTTTGCAATCTTTATATCGCACATACACACTTTCCAAAATGCATGCTGTCCCCTTTTGACTCCTCAGTGCAATCAAACTAAACACAAATGTTGTTTTATATGTTGGTGTATTAGCTGCTGGTGGAAATTGCTTAGCCTCAATGTTAGAGCCAGTTTAAATGTCTACATGATAATTTCACTTATTGTTGTGCATCATTGTTGTTGGAACAAAACCTTGTATCTCCAGAAAAATAATGAAAAAAATTACTAATTACTAATTACTAAAATAACGTCATCTTTTTTTTCCAAGTAAATTTGTACCATTTGTGTTGATCCATTAATCATGAAATTCTAACACAATGCAAAGGGTAGCTTTCAAATTAAGTCAAAAAGTAAAAGATGACAAAAATGGAGATACAGGTTTTTTTTTGTGTGTGTGTGTGCGACAGTAAAGATTTGTGGGCAGAGTAGATGCTGGTGGATTTTGATTAGCATCAATGGTTTCCAGTTCAAATATCTAGATGTTAAATCAAAACACTCTCAGCTTTAATTTGAGGGGTAGTTTGGCCAATAGCGCTGTGTGGTGGAATCCTAATACATCACCAAGCTGTTGGCTGTTGGCTGTGATGAAACTCTGCAGCATGCCAACATGTTGTAAAACAAACTTTTGTTTATTTTGAGAGTGTGAGAGTGTGAGATTTACATTCACAGCTGTCAGACATAGCAAATGTACAAAACTGTGAAATTCACACATAAACTATAGGACTTGATAGCTCTGCCTCTGACCTTATAGAAGGTGAATGTTTAAATGCTGAAATATGAAAAAGCTGCTGAGATGTAAGAAAAAAATGTTTTTTAGTATTGCTAGATGTTTTTGGTCATGTTTTCATATGTTACAGAAAAATACTGCCTACTGAGTCGCATTACATTTACAGTTGGTATGTAAAACTACAGGAGATTTCTGTATTTTGATTACAGCTTATTACTGTACAGGTGAGTGCAGCTACATCACAGTAATCTTTTGATTCAGGTAACTGCAAAGTCACTGTGTACAGTTGCTATTGTACAGTTAATTACTGTTAATATGGTATAGTAAATTACTGTGGAAGTAATGAAACCAGTAGCCAGTAATTTACTGTAATTGTATAGTGAAAATGTGGCTATTATCATTATTGTTATTTATAGTATTATTAGTGTTACAAGTGATTATAAGCTACAAACTAAATACATTTTTGGGGCATCA